GAAAGTTCCGTCCATTTTTTGCAAAAAGTATGCTTTTATTTAAAAAATAAAATAAAAAACTTAATCAAAATATTGTCCATTGTTATCGATGACTATTTTCCATTTTTCGAGCAGTAAGCGAATTCCGCGGCGAAAGAATGATTCATCTTTGGAGAATATCCACTCAGAGATCCATTTTTCGATGTTTTCATAAGAATTGAAGTGATCCTCTGCAAGTGCGTGTGCCATCGATCAAAGCAAGTGATAGTCGGAAGGGGCACAGTCTGATGAATAAACCGCGTGGGATAGCACTTCCCAGCAAAGTGCTTCTAACGTTTCCTTGACAAGTTTTGTGACGTAAGGCCGAGCATTATTATGAAGCAAAATCATTTTATGTTATCTCGTTTCATATTCTGGTCGTTTTCTGTGCAATGCTTGGCTCAAACGGATAATTTCTTCTCGGTAGAGATTCCCTGTAAATGTTTGACCAGATTTCAATAGCTCGTGGTACATTACACCCTTCTGATCCCACCAAATACAGAGCATTGCCTTCTTTCCGTGGATATTCTGCTTTGGCGTCGATGGTTAGTCTGGCTTGGAAATGGTTTTTCGACGTATCGAAATGATCTACTTTTCATCGCCAGTCACAATTCAGTGCAAAAACCCCTTCCTTTGTTGCCTAGCAAACAGAATTTCGATCAAGATTTGACCCTCTTCAGTACTCAATAAATTTGAATACGTTAAAAATTAAAACTAAATACACAATTCAACTGATAAATTTAGCGATAGCTAGTGCAAAATTTATTATTTCCTTATAATACGGAATTAATCGCAATCGATCGAAGTAGATTAAGATAACAGTTAATTGTTGTCGCGTTATATAGATAGAAGGAATTTAATTACAAAAGTTTTTCTTCAATAATACAATTAATTCTTCATTTAAAAAACGACGAGTCCCACACGAAGAGACATACAAATACCGAGTTCTATTGTAAAAACAAAAATTTTTTTATTCAATAAGTGAATTAGTTATTGTCGTATTTTTATAAAAAACCATCAGATTAAGTAATATGCTACTGTTTAGATTCAACCTCGAGAGTTATTTAAAAAATTCTTTATTCTTTTATTATAAAAAACCAATTAAATGAACTTACGTATATCTTGTGGTGCGAGGACTCCTCTGTATAACTGAACACTGTGATGATTTAAGATAAAGAGTGAATTTTAACTATCCAGTCATCTCAAATCACAGAATTGACACAGATCACGCGATAGACTGGGCGAACACTAAAATATTAGATTCGGAACGCTCGCAATATAAAAGATTGGTATCTGAAATGATTTATATTAAGACGCAAAAAAATGCTTTAAATAAACAAAGTGATACGGAGCGGTTTGCAGATCTTTATCTCCCTCTCCTAGAACAATAGTTCCAACCCCACTCTAAAATCTTCCCCTTCCTCTCCCTTTCTTACCCTTCCTTTTTTTCCTTTTTCCTAATATAAATAGACCAGAATTTTTGGCTGACTTTCTAGCAAACTTATCAACATGTTTGATTTGTCGCAGTTTGATGGACCGCAGATGATTCCGCGTATAGAAATCGGCAGCATGTTTCCATGCTTGCGTATTTCTTTTTCAGTCTGTACTATATTATCGACATTAGTCACTTTGATCGTCTGCGATTGTTGCACGAATTTCATGTCTTCTTCCTTTACGACACTGTTAATATTGAAAAATGACATTGAGAGTGGATGTATTTATAGTACCGCGCAAAACAAAACCGCTCAGTATTCAAAATGCTTCTTATCGTGTCGGACAACTGTAATGTACATAGTTTAACCGCCAAAGAGTTGGAAAATATACTGAAAATTATTTTGTTTATTAACGAGAATTTAAGAATTACATAGATCCACTAACGAGGACTCAAGCATATAAAGGTTGATTCAAAAATTCAGCAACATCGTCGGTGCTTGAAACATTATAATTTGCCCTGCCATCGATTGCATATTGATGGTCCAGTGCCGCTTATAAGAAATTGTAGCAAATGTCAACAACAACAACAAAAAGCTGCGGTTTTTTAAATCACACATAAACGCACTTTCGATTAAGTTGCATATCTCCGGACATCAATTTTGTGGTTTAGGTACGCATTTAGAGAAGCGATTGATTAGAAGCGATCGAGACATTAATCCGTTGGACGCGTGTTGCGATCACGACATAGCTTATCCGCGGAGCAAAAATCTCAATAACACGTAGCTCAATGACAAAATACTTGCTGAGGAGGCGCGGAAACGGATTACTGCAAAAGATTTGACTCTTGGAGAGAGAGCTGCTGCCACAGCTGTTTGGCTATAAAAATCGAAACGAAAATTGATATGGGCTTGAAAACGAAGAAGAAAAAGCCGACAAAAAAATGAATATTACTGGTGACAAAACGCGATAGTATCTTACTTATTCTGCCGCTGTTGGGCTTCGGCTCGTTGGTCAGCAACGCGGCAGGAGTCGCAAAAGCTATAACCGATAATAAAACCGCGCAACATCAGTTGGAAGAACTGAAACCGCGTCATAGAAGGTCATGGAGTTTATCTCGCTCCGTACAAGCGCAGACGAGGAGTCACAATGGAAAAAATTAAGAAGATTAAAAAAAAACATTAAACAGTTGCTAAAAATGCCGAAGGGTGTAACTACTAACGTACAACTGCAACAACTAGCAAAACATATATTCCATATTTTAGAAGTATTTTTATGCTTACTACCTTACCAACAGAGAAAGTGTATCGAAACGAGAATGATCCATCGTAAATTTGGACAAACCAGGTACTCATTGGGTGGCGTACGTGAAGCGGAGAGATCGCGCTGTTTACTTTGATAGTAGATTCGGTAATCTTCGACCACCGAAGGAATTGGTGCGATATTTGGACGTAACGCAAATCAAGTATAATTGTATACCTTATCAACGTTACGATCAAAGCAACTGTAAACAACTACTGTCTACAGTTTTTACAGACGGTTGACTATCAATTTAAGAATTAACATTGCAACTCAGTATTTATTTAAACATGTCACTGACATTTACGCTCACCGATAAGAGTAGCGTCCTCGCTATCTGCTATTTTTCGGCCGTAGATATGAGCGATGTTGATTACAAGCTTTGATTTACTCGGTTTGACGGACTTTGAAACCTGCAATATCTAATGTAAATTCATTGAATAATAAGTTTGACGAAGATGACAAAGAAATTGTCATTCCCGAAGGATCGTACGAAATACGTGACATAAAAAATATCTAAGACATGCAGTTCTACAATTTTATCCTAATGATGTTGCGAGAGAGAAAACGCTTTGCGAAGAGGATGAACAGTATCCATTGACTATTCGTACCAATAACAATACAATGAAGAGCGAGATCAAATGCGCTTATCGAGTAAATGTCACTAAACCTCACAATATTGGATCGTAGAGATTTTTCTGTTGGGATTTTTATCGAATTGCGTGTTGGAGCCGCAACAGTAGCACGAATCAGATTTATCGATATTATCAACGTAAATATCATTCGCATTGAATGCAACGTGATCGCGGGCGCATACAGCAACGATAAGTCCGTGCATACGATACATAAATTTTCACCGAGCGTGTTATCAGGATATAACATATCGGAAAGACCGACACAGATTATTTACTTTCCGATCATTATACGGATCTGACGATTCGTGTTGTGGATCAAGACCGACGATTGCTCGATTTTCGCAGAGAAGAAATCATCATTAGATCATCATTAGATTGCATGTACACAGGCGACAGCGATCAAGAGATACAACAACGATAACGTGAGATGCTTGTTTTGAACGAGCAGGAGAAATAGACAGAGGACATAATTTTGCCAGAAACTCACTGCATCGAACGTTAAATTTTTCAATCATTGGGCTTTGTTGTACGAAATATTT